CTTAATAGAAACGTCATCCTGTCCATGATGTCCATGTCGTATTGAACAGAATAATATAATGATTGCACTCGTCAAGTGTATATAATATATTCTTGTCTGTAAAGAGCACTTGATATAAAAGACGATGACATTTTGTCGTCAGCAACGTTCTTATCTTGCAATAATAAATTGCTTATTCTGAGCTGTTGTCTGGAGTTAAGGCAAAAACTAATCGATACACAAATAGATTAACAAACTTATAAAATAATAATAGCATTGTAAAAGAAAAACAACAACAAAGAAATGTTTTTAGTCTGAACATTACTGTAAAATTCCATTTATTATGAATATTTATTAGTTATAGTAGTTTCCTTTAAAATCTACTGCTATATAGATGAATAAGAGTTGTTTTTCTATATTAATTCATCAGCTTTAAAAAAGATCTGTCTTATGAAATCAAAGCATCAATAAATGACTACTCGAGGTTAAATGTCAATACATTTGATTACGATTACATGTATCTATTTTCATACCCTACTGCCTGCAATTAAGTTAACCATTTTAAATGAAATAAAACTTTGTTTATAACTGTTAAAAACAGCTTTACTCGTAATGATTCATTTTAAGACGACCATGAACTGTTAAAGAAATAAATAAACTTCATGTGTTGACGCTCGAAAGATCTAAAGTTAGTGTTTCAGATCTGATATCGTCAAGGAGGCGATCACCTTTTGGTAACTTGATACACCACTGACCATGCTGATATTATTGTACACAAGACACAACCTTTATTGAATTTCATTTATTATTTTTTGTGTTGTACACGATCTTATAGAAATACCATGAAATAAGTATTGAAGTAAATGGCTATATGACACGCCAGCTCTAATGCTCATATTATATGAACAAACATTCTAGAGGCAACACGAAAAATAATTTTTGACAATTACATGCAGACAAAAAAGTAATAAAAAAGAAGAAATTTGTCATCCGTCAAAAATACAATATTATGCATCGAGCCTGATCGTAATATATATGGTTTGTTGTAAAGATGAATGTTATTGCACAAATGATGTTATTCAAGATATTACAATGTTACCTGTATTCTTGTGATAGTATCACAAGTATTTGCTCAGGGAAATGACTATTTTCTGATGGAACTTAAGATCTACAATCTGTTTGCTTGCATATGTTATAATAGAAATAGAAATGTCATTCCGTCAATTGAAGTCACATCAAAATATTTCAATATTTACCTCTTTCAACAATTTATTTCAATAGAAAAATCAAACTATGATGTATCTGTTAATACAATAGATAACTAAATTTAGTAATCTACCCGAAATATTTTATGTTAATTGCATAACTCATATGTTATGATATCATATTATTTCTTCTATGTAAACAAATTATCTTATATTAAAACAGTAAATAATTATTTGATGAAACATTGAGACTGGTATTCTATCTTAAATCCGTTTACAATTTAAAAGATTAGGTTTATATGATTGGCATTAAAGCCAACTATACCCGTACTAAGTAAAGTACACCTAATATTATAATATAGTACTATTAATCAAAACAGGTAGAAAGGAATCTGTATAAGCATTTATTCATTTCAAATAGGAAAAATGTATACAGAAACATCTCTAATCGGGCAAACGTGTTTATAAGGTTATAAATGATATTGTGAGATACAAATTTGTAGACATTTGCCTTTACACTTTTGTCATGGAGCATTTGGTTTATACAGAATTTATTTTAGTTCTATTGTGTAGGAAGCTATAAGCTTATTGACACACTTACAAATCCTTTCCTGGATCCAACCAGTACTGAGCAATGACTGTAAAGAGTCTTGCTCAAGGAAATTACGACTTGCCCCTGACGGAGTTTGAACCTATGCGGCTAGCGATCATGAGATTACTAGTCCGACGCGTTAACTGGAGCATTTGAAGAGTCGATAGGGGTTATATGGAGTTGTTCCATGACATCACGTTTCTGAAAACACATGATAACACATTCCAATGATTCAAATAGATAAGCGTAATATCATTTTGTATATTCAAATACTTCGCCGGTCCAACTTTATTACGCATGGCATGTAGCTATTTATTATATCCATATAAATGCTGGCGATCAGTTTAATGGCCTTCCCTAGGCTTCATTAATGAAAAGTCAGTCGTAGCAATTTATAACATAATATACCAGGAATATCTACAAAAGAAAGTAATGTTATTATGACAAGGAAATGATTAAAATCAGAGTAAATGTTATTTATGTAAATGTTATGTATGTGCCAAGTAGAAAATACTTCTTTGATATTGTTTTCGTTAAAATATAAAGTGCTATATAATTTATCAATTAAAGCAAATTGTCATTAAAATACTCTATTTCTAATGACGATATTATGTATCAAATCGATCTGTATAGTTATACAAAATATACATTACTAGTAATTAAAATAATAATTTTATGATATTATAATTTCATCAAGAGAGCTATATATTTATACTTTGTTTTGAGGATGCGTCATAAATTATGGTTGTTATTCTTTGGTTAATAAGGTGACTTTTAATCATTAAAACTTTATAAGCTTTTACCAAATTTTGTAGTAAACAAATTAATCAATTTGGTATGCTTTAATAAAAAAGGAGACTGTTCAGCCGACACGTTGGCATATTAAAGGAAATTATAGAATTTGCAGTTGACTACTTATTTTTTACTATTTATTGACAAAATTTCCGAAAAGAAAATGTTATGAAATACATTTGAAAAGTACGTCCATTACTATTTTCTAGCCTGAGTCTATTATTTTGTCTGTTCCAAATGCGATCATGGGAATAATATCCTTCAATTTGACTTCTGAACATCATTACGATCGGCTGTATCAGATAACGTAAGGAAAAATCCTATAATACGATGTTTTCAACGAAGATTTGGCGCTGTGATGTCTGCACAATGGTAAAATTGTTACAAATAAGCACCTCTAGCATTAGTAATTGCATTGCAATGTCATGTCTGTGAAGAATTATGAAGAAAAACTACTGATAACTGTTCAAGGAAAATTAACTCAAAAGTGGAATTGAAATGTAAATGACTCTACCAAGCTCCTAAATTAAACATGCATTTCTTTGTACAAAAAATGTATTCATTTTATAACGCAATTACATAATAATGAGCACAATAATCTGAAGTATTTTACTTATATTTAAGCAGTACACATTGTGACTTCATTCACTAGACAACGTCATTTAAACGTGATGTATCAACAAATGTTTCTGAATTTAAACTAACTTTAAACACAAGATAACAACTGTACATATCACGTGTTTTAAATGCATATACCTGCTTCAAGATGTTATCTGATAAACACCACATGAAGAAAAAAAGTTTTAAATCTATTAAATTATAATTTTTATAATATCGCATTTTGATTTAGTAGCATAAATTAAGCTAGTTACTCATGTTCAAGCATGAACATAATCTTTTACTGGTTAGTCTTACAAAGTTGATTATATCATGATGCATTTTCCCGGTTCGCTTCTTTTTGAAACTACACTGTTTATTATAGCGATTTCCCTGACTAAGATATGCCATGTCTGGAATGTCATGGATTTGCTTGACATACTACTTCAACATCTAAAGTGTTCAATAGTTGTATTTCTTCCATTTTCTATTATTTATATGTACCGAATTCTATAAAGGAGGGACAATGTTCCTTTTAGAGCACGGCGATATTGTATAAATGTTTTGGTTTCTATTTCCATTCGAATCTTACACTGCAACTTCAGTTGTTGCACTGTAATATATTTGAAATTTTCTAAACAACAAAATGTTGAGTCGATAGCAAAAAACAATGATAATATACGTTTAAATGACGACTTATTTCAAATCTTTAAAATTTCGTGTAAGTATGCGAGATTTTAAGTATATTTAAATTGAGAAACTTTACTTACATTGTTAACTTAAACAGATTATTTGACTGATTAAATGACAAGTTGTACACTGTCTTCTGTTTTGCCTTTTAATGATTGCTTCGCAATTTTAATGTTTAAATTTATTTTTATATCTTTACTTGTAAAACACATTAGTCTTCGGTGTGCATAAAACTCCACTAGTCCTTGTTTAAGTGACACAACAGCTTAGTTGAAATAAATAATAATCATATGTTTAATTCTTTCGTTCGGAAACCATTGAGACACACTGACATGTTTTCTATATAGATAAATAAAACGGTATAGGTACTATCACACTGAACTGCGACACCTCGCGAGTTGTTTGAGACACAAATTTAAGGCACATTTTGCAAATTTTAGAGACAAAACTCGATCGGGGTTTCACGTCCTTACATAAAGGACATAAATTCGTATTTCGCAAGAATGATGCGCGAATGTCGCACGTATGTCCTGCGGTTATATCTCATATGGTTCTCAAGTATGTTGTGAGAATATCGCACGACTATCGCACGGTACCATTTTGTCATCTATTTTGCATGATTATAAAATTTCTGTACTTGCGAAATACGCGCGAAATTTATGCGAAAATCGCACGACAGTTAAGAAATGCAATAAAGAAATGAGAAAATCAGACAAAAAAAGCAAACTCGAATTTCAGCGGTCAGACATTATTTGACCGTGCACACAATTGAAGCTTGCTATCATGCTCAGATACCTTATCACTGGGAATTCGTACATGTCATGTTGGTTCAGGGTGGCCCACAAAACCGTCGCAAAAGTGTACCCAAATGAATTATATTTCAGGTCATATACGACCACTTATTCAAATTTTCAAAAACAGAAGAGGAGTGGATGTAGGTGGCGGAGGGTTTCTCGGAGCAATGGAACTTCCATCACTGCTTTGGCAGAATTAATTGCAAATATGTAAGGATACAAGCTCCGCCGAGATCAAACAGCGTCTACTACGATTACAAAGAGGCTTGGTACACGCGAATGTGATATAAGTTAATGCTGGCATCTATGGCGCTGACTATGATGCTGGAGTGTTTTGTGAGAGCGGCATACTCTGAGACTGGCTCCGTTATTTCTGGTTGGGGCTGTCGGGTACACAACTCGATCACCAGACATTCCTTTGGCTTATTGTGAAGAACAAAGGGGTGGCTATTGAACTCCATAAAATTAAAAGCATTAGCCATTAGAGATGACATTTAAGCCGAAAGTAGTAGGTCAATGATCACCTAAATGTACAGTAACCCGTGACTTTATGAAAAGTTGAGGAATGTACGCATGTATGTATTCGCCGTTACAGGCACTAAGAAACAGACCGCGGACAAGCCGCCTTTCATGTCCTTAAAGATAATAATCTGCCAATAGGTAGCATTTCATTTTGAATTCCAATTCTCAGAATGGTACGTTAGTCGATTTTTTGTGATGTTTACTATTTTGATGCAAGGGAGGCAAATGAGACCATTATATGAATTATGAAGACACATAATGCATTGCTGCTAAAATAAATGATCATTTTTTTTCGGACAGGTTTGAGGTTGGCTCATCTGACTGTATTTGTAAGTTATGGACCAAGCCATATTCTAAAGAGTATTTCTAATATTGGGTTGTAAAGAAAAAAGACTGTATTTCTATTAATGGATTAAGCTTTTAGGAAATTGGCTGATATGGGACAGGTCTTTATTTCACTTTGATTTTAGGCATTTAGGGCCCAACTTTATATTATCTGCTGGCTTAATTCGTAGAAACCACATAGAGAACGGTTTTTGATGGGTTCGCAATCTATGCGATGATTTTGTGAATACATTGAGAGAAATTTTGTCGCACAAAACTTTTCAACATGTTGAAAATTCAAGCGTCAAGATAACGATGGCCTGCGACTCGTGCGACGAAATTAGGAGCTTTCAAAACATATTTGAAACTATCCCGCAAATGCTGTTCGCAAGTGTGTCGCTCACATTCGCAGCTCATTGTGACAGGGGTTTATAGGACATATCTCATTCTTGATATATCTTTCCATTATTTTTTTCAACAAAATTGATTATTTTATTATTTCAATATCACAGGAGGTTCTAATTTGCAAGCCGTGTAGAATGTGTAATTGTTTTCAGCTGATATCGGTGTATGATATACATCATAAGAAATATTTGTTTTGTTGCCCGATTGCTACTAGACGAGAGACACTCATTATTTCAACAACATAATAATAAAAAGTCATGGTGAGCACTATATAATGGGTCCATAACACCTAGAGTATTTAGTATTTTTACAAAAATGTTCGAAGTAGATAGGTTTTGCTAACATCCCGTTTATAACTTAATTAATGAAATAAATAAAAGTAATAGCTGCAAATTGAACCAAACAGCATAAATTGTTCGTCTACCGTTGTTGAAGAATTGGGATAATTGTCTGAAATTGGTGTTCTGTATGTTATCAAGACATGTTGCCAAGAGATAAATATAAGGAAATTGCTAATTTTAAGATCTTTCCAACACAGATTTGGCGCAATAATATTGTGAAAGAGCCAACTATTAAAGATGGAAGTCTCCTCTGCAAACCTTTAACTCAGTCTTAATAGCTATGGAGGGGATAGTGCGTAGGGTAAATATTAGTAAATATTATTCAGTTGTTGATGTTATACGATTTAAAACATACTACCTTTAATAAGAGGATCGTTTGACAAAACTATAAGCGGTATTCCTTTTGTTTTCTTTCAAACTCTACTTATTAGTAAATTAAATAATAAAACAATTATTTCGACGTTCTAACACTTTACTCTGAAACTTTTGAATTTTTATGTAAAAGTATGTTTCTTTGCATTTCATAATATTTGATTCTAAATGCCTTTGGGGATAACTGTATTTCTATTTATCCAATCAAATTATTTCTTAATACATTGTATAATTTTCATGATCTGTTATCTTTGTTTGAACAAAGTATTATTTTAGTAACTTTATAAAATCATTTTACCTACAATCTACACTTTCACAATTCAAACAGAAATACATAGAACCATTTCAACATAAATTGAACTACTATACTGCTTTACTTCTGTAACAGACGTTGAGAGACACACAATGATAAATGGTATGTTATGATTTTCTCTGAAGCATTTGTAAATAACATTGCATGGTGAAATTCATATGTCTGTCGAAATAAAATCCTAGTTTTAGTCCATATTATCTAAGCCAGACAGTTTATAGTATCTTGCACTGACGTATAATTAAGTTTTATTGCTTTTGTTATCAATTCATTTTTCTGTTATCAAAGTATCTTGAAAACAATGTACCAATGGGTTTTCCGTTTAAGTCTAAATGTTAGTAATCTTAGGTGTATTTATAAAAAAATATATGATAAAATTTATATTAATACATGTTTATATATAATACATAATTATTGTGACGTTCTACTCTCTAATGCTATAGAAAACATTTATACTGAAAACAAATTGCAATAATTATGTGCGTAGGTTTGTTATATTATGTTTATTCGACAAGCTTTTCTTAAATTAAATAAATAAAAGAGAAAAAAAGAAAACCAAAAAAAGAAAAAGAGCAACTAAGTTTATTAATGCGATATAAAATGTATACATGTAAGCAATTGCTTGCCATCAGACAATAAACGTTTGATTAGATATACACATTAACATATTATCATTAAGGATATATGTCTCTAAGTTGAAGAAACACAAGGAATTAAGGCTTATGGAGTGATGAATATAATGTGTATTATTACATCCTCTTCATCTGCTGTCGTTATTAACTGATATAGTATGATATTATCAAATTATTTAATGAATAATAAAATAATTGCTATGTGTATGCCAAGTTAATCCGTCCTTTCCTTTTCCTTACAGAGGTCTACAGTATCTGCTGAATATGACTGTTCTTTTTATAAATGTAAATGAATTCAAATCGTACTTTAAGCATGAAACTATGTATTATTTGTCAGGACATCGATTTTCAGTCTCATGTCTAAAGATATATACTGCAAAATTCTAAAGATTCTAGGTCTTGGTATGGTATTTATTAACAGTAAACTGTTATTTAACGTAGTTCTTGACTTATCCGATATTTAGTATGAATTATATAAATGCTGAAATAGAACCTGACATAATTGGCGAAAAGTTGATACAATTATGTTTGATTATGTTTTAAAGATCCTGTAAGATGCTTCTAAAACAATTTTCAAACATCGGAGAATATGTAAAATATGTACTGCAAATTTTTATCCACATAATATGTAATCATTAAAATAAATGCATTCATTTCGTACTGAAAAATTTGACTTAGACTTTTTAGAAAATAAGATTCTAATTACTTCCTTTTATTAACATGAAATGTAAATTCGATAATATCTCAAAGTCTTTTGCAAATTATGATGTCCAAAGACTTTCGTGACAAAGAAGATTATTCTTTGACTAGATATCTACTTTCCTATTCTTAAAATTAAAGATAATCGTTTTATATCATATGATGAAGAAACGTTTATTTCTTCCATGTCAGACAAAAATTAAACAATTTAGGATGGAAGATTAGATGTCACCTTGTTTATTTTTCTTAATTCAGATATTATTGATATTGTAATTAGAAATAAGAACTGTACAAGATATTCTTTATCGTAGATATTACATGTATTACATTATAAACCACTAACGTGAACAAAGTATTTTGTTTATAAAATAGCACTATCATGTCTTTTTAAATGTTTATATCGTAACGTAATATATACAATGTGATCTATTCAAAATATGTTATTCATTCTTGGTAAAACGTTGTGAATAAAACGTGCTAAATCAAACTCGAACTGAACTGTTGAACTTTATTCCTGTAGGCGTATCATTGCAATGAAACAAAAAATCATTATATTAAACCGTACCTGTTTAGCTATAAAAATAACTCTTCTAAAATAAATACAGTTTAATGTCTACTTATGTATTAAAAACAATTTATTTTCATATTAAATTTATAATAAAATAATCCGAGCGCAGTATGTAGCTTTATTCCCTGGTAATTAAATGTAACAAAGTACACAAAATCAAACCAATGGATCACGATGGTTTAGTGACTGACTTGAGACATAAACTGTTTTTTTGTATTTTAGTATGGTTTATCATAGATACATACAATCAATATCTTCAATTTTGTCGTTTTTTGCGTTCTTTAGACATAATGTTTTTCTTTATTTTATCATCCATTTAAGAATATTTAAAATAGTTCTTTATTAAGTCTTTCAATTGACATTAATTGATTATTATATTCCATCCTAATCAAAACTGACTGTTCCAAAAGAAACAAAACCATTGTTTTTACTAAAAACGTTATAAGTATACACATTAGCGGCATTACATTTATCGTAACATAATATGTTAGAGAATGTCATGTTCAAATACGGAAATAATTTGAATAGCAGCTGTTAGGAAAAAACGCATGCTATTCGTTGTGCCAAAAGACAATTACTTCTTATGTATTTCTTTTAAGGCTATAAAATAAGTTTTCTAAATACAAAGTTAAAGGAGCAAATTGTATAACTTTAATAATTTAATACATTTCTTCATTACACAGAACCTCAAGTGATTAAATCATAGAGCAAAGAAATGTACTTTCTATCTGGTACGTTTATGTATTGTTAGTTAATTGTACTTGAACTATTTATGAATATTTAATGTATTATAATAGTATATAAAATAGAGAAAATAAGAATCCCTAAAGAAAGCCCAACACGGCTAAATTTAAAATGTTGCAGGCTCGGTTTGATTGAGCCTGTTCATGGACGGTACTGTCAAGTGCAAACTACCGTCCACGCCCCCAGTACCGGCTTAAAGCAGAATTCAACATTTAATATGAACTGGTACAATTTTGAATTGTGAAACATCCGCAGATGTGTTCATATAACTCATATTATAAACATCTAGGTGTAAACGGCGAGTGTACTTAAAGTGACATTATGCTCATTTTGTATTGTCAAATTGACTTTAATTGACTATATACTCGTATTTCAATAAAATGGTCGTTATAATGGTGATTGACCAACACATGATATTTGAAGGGTAAAAACAAATCTACCTAAATATATAAAAAGACTGCCCCACTCTTTTTAAAAGTTGAAAGTTACAGATACAT